TTACTACGTACATATGAAAACAATATCATATGACAAACAAAATATTAAATAATTACAATCAGAGATTCGTTTTCTTGGAGGTTAATATTTTTTAAACTGTTTCTAAATTATACTTAAATAAATACTCACTAATATAAATTTAAATATATAGAAATTAATTAAAATATAATTAAAACTAATCTAATTGTATATATTTTAATATATAACTGATACAGATAATAAAATTGTAACACTATGTTTTTAGGTAACTTAATTAAATAAGTTGTTTTTAAAATAAATTACCTTGCTTTTGTAAAATTTAATTTCAAAGTTTCTTGATATAAAATAATTTACATTGAGGTGAAATGAGTTTATAATTTTAAAAAAAATCTGTATAATAAGAGTTTCATTTTATAAATTTAATAACTCTAATTAGAGTTTATCGGTTAAATAAATATTATTTCAAAGAAATTATGATTTAGTATAAACCATATAGTAAATTAAAGTTTAATGAGTTGGTGTGATCACGTAGTAAAAATGTGATTTGAAGAAAGGCACTATTTTAATATTATTATTATTATTTCTACTGTACAATTTTAGTTAAATTTTTATACTTCATAATTTTTTACTGTCATTTTATTTAAGTAACTAAATTTTTTTAATTTTAAAAACATTAGTTTCATTTCAATTCAATTAAAATATAAATTTTAAGAATTATAATTTTATAGATTTCACATTAACAATTTGATAAAATGTATGAAATAATTAGGGGAGATCTGGGCAAGATCGGCATGTTAAGCTTTACTTAAATTTTGTGTAATAAATACTGCTGTAAACTGAAAAAAACCTTTTGCATATTGTCTATTGGANCTTTTTTTTGAAAGTGGTAAAATTTTAAACTACAGTGATGAGTTTATAAAATATAAAACTCTGATGAACTCTGAGGATTAGTATTATTTAATATAAAATAATACTAATCCTAATTTTTATTTATATAAAATTACAGAATGCGATTCTAATGGATTTTGAAGCATTTCAAGTGAAATTATTTACCGACAGTTGGCCATAAAAACATTACACAGTCTTATAGAAGCTGTAATAGACATTTATATAGATTCTGTTAAAAAGTATCAGTTATGGGCAAAAGATCAATGGCAAGTCAATTTTACTAGCAAAAAAATTCATCTATTAAATTTAATAAACAAAAAACATCGGATGTAACTGGCTGAATCAAACACAGTAATTTATAAAACTTATTAAATTATTTCACAACGTATAATGAATAATTTTTATTTAAAGGTGAACAGTAAAAAAAATCTTTTTAAAAGTTGCAACTACAATTATTTATACACCAAACTTCTTGGATGTATAAGACTTAATAATAATTTAAGATAAACAGATAAAAAAAACTGTTTTAAAAAGCATTGTTCTCTTTGCGATATTTTATCTTAAGAACAATTCTTAATTGAAAAAAAAGAAAAAAAATTTCAAAATCAATACATTCTATAAGTAGGTATTTAGTAAAAAAGTAAAAAAAATATAACTTTATTATATATTTTTTAATTATTATATTGAACAATTTCCCTATTTCACTTTGTCTTATTTCTATGATATTATTTTAAGTTTTCGTGTTTTAATTTACTTGGATATTAGAAGGAATTGTAAAAATTATTATTGCAAAATAATAAATTTGATAATTAAAAAGAATATATTAAACTTTCCTTATTTATTCAAGATTTGTGATTGAAATATAAATTTTTTGATCAGTGTGGGCTAAAGCACTTAAACCATATCAGATAAATATATCAGATATATCCTTGTAATTTAATATTGTATATTTACGTTGTCATAAATTTTATATTCATTTGCATTTCCTAAATCGAAAAGCTATTAGCCATTGATCGGTAAGTTTTACGACATTTATGAAATTGAATTTATATAAGATTTAAGTTTCATAATAACAATGATTACAACAGAGAATTACTCTAAAATATCGATAAATAGGCTTCTATTTAAAGCATGAATGCAATTTATTAGACAATCAATTCGGTATAATTTCTTCGTAATTATTTTATGGTATTCAATTACGTTTGTCTCGATAATCGTCTGATAATTGTACTTTAACAATAACACTACAAAGTGTCGAGACGATAAATTGCACTGTAATAAAATTTCATTTATTGTAAATTTATTCAACTTTAACACTGTAAAAATTCACTCGCATTTTAAATATTTCACACTTTTATACAATTCAATTTATATTTAAGTCTGCTCAGGTAGTATTGAGTCTATTTAACCCCATCCTTGTTTGGACTGTGTTTCTTTTGGAAACTATGACGATTACGAGTATTAAAGCAGTTAAAAAATTATATAGATTATTCGGTAATATTGGGGAAAAATATCAGAAGGATTTATGGTATCAAAAGGACAAAGACAGAAATGTTGTATGTCACCAACTTCATTTAAAATCTAAGTAGAAGAAGTATTCAAAATACGGAAAAGCAAATGTTATGATATGGTAATAGATATTAACAATAAACCAATATTTATATTGCAATTTTCAAATGATGAGATGATAACGGCAGAGGATAAGGATAATCTAAAGTACATGACAATAAAAATAAAACAAGAATATTTTAGAGAAGGCTTATATATTAACACGAGTGAAACAATATATTTGTGCATAGGTGAGGCTAAAACAAACACAAAAATGGAGAGAGGAGAAAAGTTTGAAAGATGTTAACATCACAATTATCTTGGAATACAAATTCATCAAGATGGAAGAGATACATTGGAAATTAATACAAAATTAGCATAAGTAAGAAAGCAGTTAAAAAATTAAATGGAGTATGGTGGAGTGAAGAATGCATAAAATATTACCGATAAATTCGTAATATAAGTAACATTTNTTAAAACAAGAAGATAAAACTATAATCACTTGATTTTTCAAGTTGTTGCGGGTATCGATATTAGAATTAGTACGAAAGTGATTTACTTAAAATTTATACTACTAACATCTTTACAAATCTTATTATGTTCAACTTTGTTAAATTCAATATATTATATAGTTATATATATATATATATTGTAATGTATAAATTGTACTATACATATAAAAATTCTGCTATCAACTGACTATTCAGTGCAAGTGCAGATAGCGACAAAGAGGTTGCTGAGATATGTAAAAAAATCTTTCATTTTCAAAACTCTGTACATACTATTATATATAATTACGTATTTTTCTATAATACGTAATTATATATAATATGTGTTTGTACGTATATAGGCCTACGTCGAAATGTGTTTTTAGGTATATTTGTTTTAATGTTATACTAATGATTCAATGTTACGGCAGCAAATTTAGCATGAATAATCTTCCACACACAAATCGTACAAAAGAAATTATTTTTTAATCACCTCCATGAAAACTGTATATTGTTGTATTGAGTCTTGTGTTTATTGTAGTGTTTTTCTTAATGTTTGTCCTGTGGTTTTTACCTTAAGTCCTAGCAACTTTCTGTGATTTTCAATTTCATTATTGTAAATACATAGGTTAATTAATGAGCATTTTAGTTACAAAAACTACTGTTTTTCACCTTTTTTAAACCACTCTTCACCAATTCATTGAATCGCCCATGTAATGCTAAGAAAACGTAAATATCTATGCATATATTTAAAAGTTTTTAATTATAATTGTCTGTTCTTTTTAATAAAGTACAAGCGGAAATGTATTTTTTCTGATTAATCGAAACGGTTACAATTGCCGATAACTAAATAAATAAGCAAAATAAAATAAACAAAAATATCTCGTCTTTAAAACATTGTTATTTTATGTCGAAAATGTCTACAACTTCTTGAAATTTGAGACTGAAATATATATCTATAATGCGAATGTAGAAGGTTCTATTCCGAATATTCTGGTAAATGAACTTGTATCTTTAGACATTTAAGCTCAGTCGTTGTTTCTCTTAGTATCAATACTGCAATTAAATGGAGAGGCATTCATCGAATTTGTTGTTAAATATTAAATATAGGTATCTACCACGAAGAATATAGATTGAAATTTATAATCAATTACGTATACGAAAATCAAATAACGTATTGAAAATGGAATACAATTTGAAACTTATTGATGGCGAATTGTTTCCAAGCAACAATTCAGTTTCTACAGTCCGTAACGTGATTGGATTAAACACTGGTTAACGTGACACGATTTATTTTCTACAATTGCGTCTATCAACCAATCACTAACCATCTTGTGGTTTACATATTCACTTCATGGAATATTCTACTGGAGACAAAACGACTTAAAGCGTTGTTCTACTTTTGTATTTATCTCGATTACTCAGTTTGCAAACTGTGGATATTTCCGAATCTGTATTCTGTTACTTTATAATTGAAGTCAACGATTAACTTTAGTGCACTTCAGGACTGCATAACGAAAGAATCTTTGCACTTGTTTCGTTCAAAATGCATTCGCCACACAGCAATTGCATTGCCACAAAACTTCGACCTTTCATTTCTGTTTTTGAACTTTTTAGTTTGAATATGTTGGAAACTTGTGATTGTCAAAAAGAAAAAACAAAAAGTACGCGAAAATTTTTTACTTTTTATACGAATTTTCTCGAAATATTTTTATGGACGATTGTATTAATGTTCGCAGTAACGATTGCATCTGATGGCGTTTGCATTCAAATATTTTTGATATTTAAAAATAATAAATTATACATTATATTCGTTGCATGGATTGCGTCCCTGTACATAGCTTTACAATTCAGTATTTTGCGAAGAAGAAAGCTTAATATTCATCATTTGATGAATAATTTTAAGGAAGAAGAAGAATTTCTCGAGAAATATGTAGGTTACATTATTTATTATTTTTCTTTTTACGTTTTGTTTCTCTTATGTTGTTTTACAATGACTTCGTACATTAGTTATTCTGCATTAAAGACAGTACATTTCAATTACAAAATGTCTCTGCTCTGTGTTTTCGGCATAGAACTTTGGATAATTTATGCAGCGTCTCACCCGATTTGCGTACTTTTATTTTTAGTTATTTTTTTGTCACTTTTAGGAAAAAAATTGATAAACGTTTCTATTCAGTTGCAGTTTGCAAAGAATGCAACAAAATCTTTTATTGATCAACTAATGGAAAAACTCTGGGAAATTTGGCAAATATTTGAAGAAGTCAACGATAAATGGAAGGCGTTCTTACCTATTATTTACAGTTATTACGTCTACGAAACTTGCTTTCTCATATATATCGCCTTCTTCGTACGTCTTGACATAATTTTTCGTGTGGCATTCGCAATAATTGCAGTGATATTTTTAACTGGAGCAATAACAGTGTCGTGGGCATTATCAAGTTTTACCTCGATTGTGAGTATTGACGTAGGCCTAATAAATATGCGATGTAGATGTAAGTATTTAAAAAATAAACTAAAAATTTTTTTTATAAATATACTTCAGATATACGACAGTTTTATCAACATAGGAAAGTATAACCATTCTATCTTCTCGCCGATATACAGATTTAAAGTACGTTATTTATTAATCTTATTGCATATGTTTATTTTATTAATAATTGCATAATTTCAGATCATTTGTTTCATGAAGAGATTCGGAGGAAGACCTTTCGGGATATCGATGTGGGGATTTTTTTACCTCAAAAGAAATTTCTTTATAAGGGTAAATAGGTCTTATTATAGTGTCGTTTTTAGTTTTCTTAGCGAATATCGTATTCATATATTACGGTAAATGTAAATTTCCGATGAAAAATACAAATTGCAATCACAGTTAATAATTCTTATTTTCTTATGAATTGGTTATTGGAACGTGGATTAAATGGATAGCAGCAACGCGTAATCATTTCTTAAAATATTATAAAATTAGTTATAATGCTTTAATTCAAAATGCATTTTCAGTATGGTGTTTAAAGAAACAGAAATATTTAGAAATAATCATAAATACATAAAGTATTTTTGGTGCGGTTTTATTTATTATACTTTGAATTGTTTTCAGGTGGTGAGTGGATTGTATTCGTTTTTCTCTACTCTAATTGAATTGACCGGTGTTCTACGAAATAAAAGATGCTCTGCTGAAAGCTCTTTAAACTATACGTTTAAGAATAAAACAAATTATTGAAAGTTTTTATATCGGCAAATTTACTGGCGAACTTTTTATGTAGGACAGCCATTAACTTTTACTGAAGAAGTACGGAAATTTTATTGTTAATCCGTTAGTGACTGACAAATAACGTGTTCCAACAAATTAATGAACAATACTTTTAGCAAGAAATTCGACGATATAAAGTAAAAAGCTTACTGTTTGTTTAGATCGGTGAATGTAATTTTTTTTTACATTGATACAATCCTTACTAATATAATCTGGATTGCAGGCTATGTTATATCCTAGTGCTGCAGTTTAAAGCCAACAAATCTGACTCAAAACTCGAAGCTGACCAATTGAGATGGACAATGTCAATATGTCAATGTGGTCGAAAGAATTTTCAAGATCGAAGGAAAAAATGTATTTGTTACAAACACAGTTTGCCAAATACTCGAATATTATAAGATTTTACTCAAAACTTTAATACATTGCTCGGAACATTGATAACTATAAAGAAACCAAAATTCCTTTAAACTCGAGTTGTGCGCAGTTTCCAATTCAAACTGGGTTACAACGTGGGTCAATTATCTTTAAGTTCGTCGAAATTTCTGAAATTACAGAAAAAATTTTATAAATTGTTACGAAACTTAGAATACTTTTAAACTCGAGTTTTACACACTTTCCAATTCAAACTGGATTACAACGAGGGTCAATTATCTTTAAGTTCGTCGAAATTTCTGAAATTACAGAAAAAATTTTATAAATTATTACGAAAGTTAGAGATAATGTATTAATAATTTTAATATTCGCATCTTTTTACTGAAATATTTTCTCAAAGGCATATTACTCGTGTTAACGTAATAATTTGCTTTATTTTGTAGTTTGAAAACATGTCATATATTTAGTGTTGTGTAAACTATTTAGAAAAACAATAGACACACACAGAACAGTTATGTACAGTATATAGTTATAAGAAGCAAAACACCGCATTAATTTAGATGCATTCGCCTGCATTAATATACTGCAAAAATTTTTAGTATTTTTAGAATGATGTGCTTGCTGATTTCTAATAAATAACGAAACAAATGTAATTGATTTATTCTAATAGCAGCGTTTTGTTATAAATTAACCCTTATTGCAAATAATTTTTATAGTGAATAAAACAGTACTAAAATGGCGCCACTGTAAAAATAAAAGTAAAAATAAAAAGTTTTACACCTCTATTTTTTATTCTTTTACTACATTGTTATCTGATATGTTTTGTTCTACAGGTAGAATATAACGATTCTTGTGCGAAAGTACTTAGTAAAGAAAAACACATACAGTAATTGAATCTAGTACTAGTAAATAAAAGTACTTAAATCAGAGAATTTAAAAATTAAAGTCGTTATAATATTCTTTATTATACAGGAAATTAGTTTCATAATTTAAAAGTATAAAATTTAATTATTTAATGTAGAAATGTAATCTGTAAATTTTTCCATTATTTACAATTTATGCTAAACAAATGTACTGTACCTGAGCAGGTTTAAATATAAATTGAATTGTATAAAAGTTTGAAATATGTAAAATTCGAGTGAATTTTTACAGCGTTATCGTTAAATAAATTTACAACAAAAGAAATTTTATTACAGTGCAATTTATCGTCTCGTCACTTTGTAGTGTTATTATTACAGTACAATTATCAGACGATTATCGAGATAAACGTAATTGAATACCATGAAATAATTACGAAGAAATTATATCGAATTGATTGTAATAAATTTCATCTCTGCTTTAAATAGAAGCCTATTTATCGATTTTTTAGAGTAATTCTCTGTGATTATGAAACTTAAATCTTATATAAATTCAATTTTATAAATGTCGTAAAACTTTTCGATCAATGAATATTGGTTTTCAATTTAGGAAATGCAAATGGAAATAAAATTTATGAAAACGTAGATATACATTATTAAATTAAAAGAATATATTTATTATGTTTACCAGAGTAGTAGTGGTTTGAGCCAGACTGATCACAAAATTAATTTTTCGATCACAAATCTTAATTGGATTAATTTAATTTTAACAATAAGGAAAGTTTAATATATTTTTTATAATTATCAGATTTATTATTTTGCAATAATAATTTTTACAATTCGTTCTAATATAACACAGAACAACTTAAAATAATATTACAGCAATAAGACAAAATAAAAATAGGGAAATAGTTCGATATAATAATTATTTAAATTATATTTCCTACTTATTTATTAAATACCTGCCTATACAATGTATTGATTTTGAAAAAATGTGTTTTTTCTTTAATTAAGAATTGTTCGTAAGATAAAATATCGCGAAAAGAACAATGCTTTTTAAAAGAGTATTTTTTATCTGTACATTTTAAAATAAAAATAACTGATTATACGTTGTAAAATAATTTAATAAGTTTTGTAAATTACTATGTTTGATGCAGACAGTTGTATCTGATGTTTTTTGTCTATAAAATTTAATACATGAATTTTTTTGCTAGTAAAAAAATTCACTTGCCATTGATCTTTTGCCGATAATTTACACTTTTTAACAGATTCTAAACAAACTAGTAGCCTGGGACGCTCCCTAGTGGGCGTTATTTACAAATTTCCATGATGCACGGTTTCTTTGACTTTTTTGTTCCTATCAAGATGCTGTACAGTTCCGTTAAAGTCCCAATAGTAAGATTTACTTTCCGAATGAAGGGTGGAAACCCTCCAAACTGTAGCCCCCTGTGCGAACAATAAAGTCAAAAGAACTATACCCCTACTCGCGACCCTTCGCGAAATATCTCGGGAAGGGTCGCGCATAGGGTTATGGTTCATTAAACAATTATTGGAAACATATGGAATGGAAATATATTGACAGCTAACTATGCAAATTAGGTAAACGAAACATTAAAATTTATTAAACAGGTCTAGCAGAAGGTGAAGTTTCAGAAATAGTAGGTTAATGCATGTCTTTGGGGTATTTTATACTTAGACGTGTATTTCTTCTAGTTTTTCAAAAATTGGATTATGTTCCTCTTATGCAATTTAAATAAAGAGGTGTTATCAATAATAAGAATGATAAAACTATTACACTGAAACACTGACTAAATGTGTGAAAGTGTATAATAGAAATGTAAAGAATGCACAAAAACTATTCATGAATTTTTGTTTTTATATGTTCTATTAATTCAGCAGTATTATGAATTTCAGTGAAGAGTCTGTAATACTCTCATTAATCTAACATTAAAATTATTTCAATTATTTTAACTCTATATGAATCTCTCACAATTACCATTTACACTTTCAGTTTGAAAACAGATGTTAATGAACTTATTAAAAGAAATGATAACCAATATTAATTTAAATGATCAATAATATCATTTTTTATTTTGATAATTTTGATTATGTAACAAAACAATTTCTGATTTTTTTCCAGTTTATTAATATTTTATAAAATTTAGTAAATTTATTAAAAGAGAAATTTAATACATATACAAACTTCAATACATGGATTATACAGAATTTGTTAAAGAATAATAAATAATGGCTTTTTATTTTTTTTCAAACTCACATAGACTTATGGTTGTGGATTAATATCGAACGTGAATGGTGTTTGTATGTAGTGATAGCCCCAAGTCTCCATTCGTGCATAGAGGTGATTGCGTCTCGAAGGGTGCGGGAGATATGAGGCTAAAAGTGGTCGAAAGTGGCTATTTATTTCGAATGTTTTGTTCGAATTTGTTCGAATTTAATTCGAACCTAAAATTCGAATGTTGGTTCGATTATAGAACGATTGTAAACGTTCCAGAAACGTTGAAAATAGTCCGTTTGACTGGACGTGAACAGGAGTTCAAAAATAAAATCGAGACCAGGTCTCTAATTAGTCTGGAAACGGGAGACCTAATTCTTGCATTTTGTGAAAACGGGTAAGATTGTCTATAATGTAATTATCTTAATTTTCACTATCATTACTTCTTGCCCATCGAATCGGGTCCTTGCAGCTAGTATATATATATAAATAGACGTGTGTGTCCCTATATTTCACTTTTCAGCCAAAAGTACACATCACACATAGATGTGGTAGTAGCCCCAAGTTTCCATTCGTGCATATGGGGTTGACTATGGTTGAAAGTGGAAGATTTTGTATTTCGATTTTAAAAATTTTTCAATTCAAATACAAATACGAATACGAATTCGAATTTAAATTTGAATTGGTTCGATTGTACAACGATTAGTAAACGTTCCAGAAAATTGATCCAGTTGAAAATACAGGTAACCCCGTATAACACGGCACTTCTATAGCACGGATTCACTCTGACACGGTTCGAGAATTGGGTAAAACCCTCGTACAACATGAAATGTAATAAATTTTTACATACTTAAGTAATAATAGTTCACGAAAATTACTATTTTCGTGAACTATTAGTACTTAAGTATGTAAATTTTCTCTTCTCGCCTTCTGTCGATACACGTGGTCCTTCTCGAAACTTGTTTCAATGTTGCCAGATCGCGACGCTTCTGCTTCTGATGTTGCCGAATGTTTT